TCTCTTCCTTTGCTGCCAAACTTTAATCATCTGTTAACACAAAACTGCTGTAGTCTCTTCTCTCATCCCAATATGGTATAATCTGGCAGCCCCATAAGTTCACTTGTTCCTCAGCATCTTTTGAGCACCTGCTGTACAACAGGAAGTACACTAGATGCTAGGCAAATAGTCCGTCCCTGAGAGAAGCTTCAGAAGCCGGTGGGTTGAGACAGGTAACTAGTTCCACTGCCGTGTACCTAGTCATGACAGTACCTAGTCATGAAATCAGTCTCCTTTTAGAGTTCTCTTGGATCATTTTCCCAAAGGACAAGCACCTCTATTATGGAAATTTTCTCTTTATCTTTCTTCTGTGGCATTCCTCACCCTTGGTTTTCTTCTTTGATTCTTTTAGAGTTCATTTTGCATCTCTTTTCTTTCTTTTCCCATCTTCTCATTTTGAATGTCTTTCCTGCTGTGTACTAGATCTCTCCACTCAGACAGACATTCAGGATTGCACCCTTCTTTTCTCAAGAGAGTGTAATTTACTTGGTTGCTCATATTAACTATTAAATATTCTGGAGTCATCAACAATCCTTTGTCCTCCTCTCAACAAAAAGACTTGACCATTCTGTTTTAAAAATGGCCTTACCGGGTGCCTGGATAGCTGAGTCAGTTAATTGTCTGCCTTGGGCTCAGGTGGTGGTCCTGGGATTCCGGGTTTGAGTCCTGAGTTGGGCTCCCTGCTCAGACAAGAACCTACTTCTCCTTCTCCCTCTGCCACTCCCCATGCTTGTGCACGCTCGCGCTCTCCCTCCCCCCCTCTCCATCTGTCAAATAAATAAATAAAATCTTTTTTAAAAATGGCATTACAATTTGGTCAGGTTACCAGCACCTCTGCTATTACTTCTTTCTCCCTTCCTGCCTGAAGTGCATCTTAGATACTTTAACTCAGCAATTTTTTTTTTTTAATTTCTCATGGTATTCTTACTTCTAAAATCTTTTAATGTCTTTCCTGCCACCTATAAGATCAGGGCTCACTTTCAAAGCTATTGGCCATCTGCTCCTGATTGACTTTTCTGGTATCTCTCCTGTGTAGCTACAGTGCTCAGCACATGGAAGGTACTCACTGAATACTGGATGGGGTAAATGGATGGTGCATAAAAACCTTACCTTTTCTCTCCTGAGGCCAGTGTCAAATTCTCATTATGTGAGTGTGCTGTCTGCTAAGTTTACCTCTCAGAAGTTTCTGTCATTTTTAAATTATAGTTGTGTAAAGATGAATAATCTGTGAGCTGTTTTTTAAAAATCTCATTTCAGGAGCATCTGGGTGGCTCAGTTGATTAAGCATCCAACTCTTAATTTCGACTCAGGTCATGATTTTGGCATTGTGAGACTGAACCCCCCCCCCCCCAGGTTGGGCTCCCTGCCCCCATGTGTGCACTCCCCTTCTCTCTCAAATAAATAAATAAATCTTCTTTAAAGTCCTATTTCATAAATTTATTAATGTGTATGTGCTGAATTGTGTTCTCCCAAAATGCATATGTTGAAGTCTTGATCCCCAGTACCTTAGAATATGATGGTTTTGGAGATAGGGTTTTTAAAGAGCTAATTAAGTTAAAATTAAGTCATTGAGATGGGTCTTGATCTGTTAGGACTGCTGTTCTTATAAGAAAAGGCAATTTGGACGCAGACACCTAGAAGGAAGACCATGTGATGACATAAGGAGAAGATGGCCAAAGACTTCCAACCTCCAGATCTGTACAAAAAATATTTTCTGTTGCTTAAACTACCTCTGGTTCATTGTTGTGATAGCCTTTTAGCAAACTGATACACCCTGTGTCTTTTAATTTGCTTAGGTTTTAAGTCCTGTATATAGGAACTTTATCCTTGAGAAAGGGATGGACTGAGGATCCAATAAAATCTCTTCTCTGATCTCAGATTTCTTGGGAGCATTTTAAATTTGTCCTGGGGAAAGAGGGCCATCCTTACCTTTTTCAGACTAGATAGCATTCACGATCAGCTACCCAAAGAATGTTTTTTTCTTCTCATTTTGGGATTATAGATCTTATTTCTCTTGAAGATACAAACAGAGCAAGATTCCATTAAAAATATCATCAAGCCCCATTTATTGCATTGATTTAAACAGATAAGGAGTTTAATATTTTCCAGGCTCTCATTTTAATAGCTAGAGTACAGTAAGTTCTCTGTGTCATGCATAGTTGTACTACCTGCAGCATCACATTTCTAGAGAAGATTCGTGCTGCAGTGAATTCATGTGCTTTGCACAGTTCTTTTGAGGATCTGTCCTTGGGGGAAAAGATTGTCTCTGAATAACTAAATTTGGTTTATTCAGGTTTTCCTAGTCCTATTTCAGGTTGCCATGTTGTCAGCCTCAAAATACCTGTCCTTTCTCCATGTCTTCTACCCCACGTTCCAGCCAGCTCCTCAGCAGTGGTGGTAATGAAGCTGGGGAAATGAAGTATGTCTGAGTGGGTTAGAGACTTTATTGGAAAAGAACTTTTATGTTTACTGATCATCTACTCAGGTCTGCTCTGATTGCTTCATATTAAATAATAATTTCAGCCCCATTAAGAACCTTGAAAAGGTTCACCTTTATACCTGCCTGTAATATCACCATTAACATCTCAGGTGGATCTGAGTCAATTTTATTTTATAAATCCAGAATGAGAGGCTATAATTCTTTTGTGAGATCTTGTCATTTATTTGCTGTATCTACTCTGAACTTCATGCTACAATCTTGAACTTGTTTCATCTTGTTCTATCCATGGTAGAGGTGAGGATAGCTAGTCACCATGTGTAACAGCTCTTATTCTTGAGACATGAGGCATTATTACTAAATTACCTCTCTACCTTCTCTTTTCCAAACTGAGCTTTATTGGTTCTTTAACCTTACAAGACTTATTTATAATTTTTAATTACATATAAGATGTATCATTAAAGCCTCTCCATATTTTTCACAACTCTCTTTGATGATGGATCCACCACTGGTTGAATATCAACCATACAGTGAGAAGATAGTTTCTACACTCAGTACTATAAATACACATGTAGGCATTTTGGTTTTGTGCTTAGTTTTCGTTTTTGATTTAGCTTATTAAAACTCTATAGCTGTTAAACAAAAGATTATATAATTCTTCTTTCCATGACAAAATATTATTGAAACATAAATTGCAGGTCATCTTTTGACTTCACATGCATTGATACTCAGATTCAGAGAGATAGAAATACATTCCATTGACTGGAACCAAATGAAGAATTTTCTGTATCTATATTGCAGTCTTAACATTGCCTTCAACCAACTGGATTATAGTAAACAAGTCATTTAATTCTTTCTATATAATTTTATTTATGAAACTGAGGAAGGTAGACATCAAGATTGGAAGACCTCTAAGTTGTCCTCCAGCTCAGAAATTGTATACTTGACTAATGACAGGAAGTCGATCAATTGTGGGTTTGAATAGGAAAGTATATTTGGAGCATGTAAGAGAATTCACTTGAAATCTATAGAGCACATACACTGAATATTACCTACTACATGCCAGGTGCTGGCAAACACAGTGATAAATCATTTTTCAAAGAGTGCATTTTATGAGGGAAAAGAAACATGTACAAATAAATGCAGTTGAGTATTACAGGGGCTGTGATAGATTCTGTGTTAAGGCGTGTTGGGACACGAGGGAGAGTTTGGTGAATTTTGCTTGGGTGGCAGCAGCATCAGGAAAAGGCCAGTGATCAAGGGGCCAAATATGAAGGCCCAAGGAAGAGCAATTACAGTGATGTGGGGGTAAGGTGCACAGGGGCTGGGGAGCAGCCTGATGGCTGTGGCTACAGTTTGAGGTTGAGGAAGTGGGAACAGTGGGTACAGATGATTTTTTCCAAGCAGCTAGACAACAAAGAGAAAAGAACTGGGGAGGGTGGGCAGGGATTAGAGGAGGTTGTTTATTGTTCAATTTGGGAGTAAAGAGCCAATGTAGAGGTTTTAGGGGAAAAAGCTTCTCGAAGGGAAAGTTTGTACTGACAGAGGTTAAGAAGATGAAATTAAGAATGAATTTAAGGGGAACCCTGGGCGGCTCAGTGGTTTAGTGCCTGCCTTTGGCCGAGGGCGTGATCCTGGGGTCCCAGGATCAAGTCCCACATCAGGCTCCCTGCATGGAGCCTGCTTCTCCCTCTGCCTGTGTCTCTGCCCCCCTCTCTCTCTCTCTCTCTCTTTGTGTCTCTCATGAATAAGTAAATAAAATCTTTAAAAATAAAAAACATTTTAAAAAAATAATGAACTTGAAAGCAAGGTTGAGTGTGGAAAGAAAAACACAGATGGGACAGATACGGTGATAGAGCAAACCCAGTAAAATGTTAATTGGGGCACCTAGGAGGCAGGTGAATGGCAAAATACAATTCTTACAAGAGCTTTATTTTTTATGATAAAATATTGGGAGGAACAAAAGGAATATAGATTGAGAGTTTAGCTTTGAACAGAACAGGGAACTCATTCCTAATTGTGGCAGCAGAGGGTGAAGTTCAAGATTAAAGCCTCAACTTTTTGATGAAGTAGCAGCCACTCTCCCCTGCTGGGGCAGAGAACTGGAGCAGAGGAGCGAGCCCTGGGGAGAATGAAGGCTGGAATCTCCACTTGGGTAGTAGGAGAGGGGACTGAGCAGACTTGGCAAAAAGGAGGAAGCCACGAGGCTCAAGTTCCGTTGAAGGTGGAGGGCACAGGGTTGTGCTGGTGTGAGAGGTTTCCCTAGTAGCTGTCAGGAGACAGCAAGTTAATAGGGCACTGGGGCGTGGGTTTAAGAAAAGTGATGATTAGACGGGACGAATGGCTCCCCCCACTGTTTACCAGCAGCCTGTTCTGGAACAAGTCTCAACCTCTCTGGTTCTGTTGGGATTCTGTTTTCTACCTCACTGTGTTTTTTTATTTGAATGAAATGAGGTAAAAATAATGTTAAAAAAACGGTGTCATTGTTAACATTGAACTGAGACCAAACTTTTGTCTTCCTCAGGTAAAAGAAGAACGTCCAGAAAAAATACCAGACCTAAAATTGTTAGTGGAGAAGAAATTTTTGGCTTTACAGAATAAGAATTGTGATGCAGACTTTCAAAATAATGCAAAATTTGTACAATTTAAACAACAGCTGAAAGAACTAAAGAAGCAATGTAAGTCTGCATGCTTTGCTTTGGTTGGCCTTTTTGAAATTAGGGAACTGACCTGATAAACAGCCCCAGAAAACTGATTTTTAGTAAGTTTGCCTCTCTGCTTGGCTTGATCCTCTTTCTAAATTGCTTTTAATTGTTGTTGCAATTCTGTATTTTGTCTAACTTTTGGTTCAAATCAGCCTGTCCATTTCTGAAAGCTAACAGTTTCCACAAAGTGCTAAGAAAATTTCCCAGCGGTTCGATAAAGTGACACTGTATTGTTCCACTGCTGGAGAGGGGGAGTTGGGAAATTAAAATGGAACTATTTTATTAAAATAGCAATGGTATTTTAAATTTTAAACTGCTGTGCCACACTTTTAAAATGATCAGTCTGAATTCTGGCTTTGCTGCCTTTTGAGTAGTAGCAGCAGTGTTTTCTCAAACTAGTTTTCTCTTCTCAAATATGGACCAGGATCTTCTGGATCCCTTTGGTCTTTTGTGGTAGCATAAATTCCAGGTGATTGTGATTGTGATTCCAACATAATTTTGATTTAAAAATGAGACTGGGAAAGATGATTCATTACACGGAAAAATTTTTGTAGACAGTATTTGACAGTAGATCTTTTCTCCACGGTGAAGTATATCCATCCTTACCTTTCCTCTTTTTTTCTGCATAATCCACAGAACAATTTTATATAATTTTGATAGTTTTTACATTAGCACAAGTTGTCATTCTTCTAGGCTCCCAACTCTTATTCCTTAAAGAATTGGGTAGTGAAGGAAATAACTTTTTTGTAGACTTCAATTTCTCATCATCTTCATTTGCGTACTCGTGGAACACTGTCTTATTAGATGTAAATTTCCTTCATGTCCTTATTTGTCCTTAGTGTAAGGATTCATATTTTGAAATAAGCTTTCTTTTAAATATAAGCATTTTCTTTAAATTGATGCTGAGGTCTCAAAAAATGACTGAGGAAGCAGCTCTACTTTTGTCTATTTTACAAGTAACTTAAGTTTCACAATTTGGAATGTTTTGCAATCACGATGAGACTTTTGCTTTTACGTGGATTTAAACAGTAAGCATTTTCTCCACGTTTTCGTCTATTTTTTGTTCTTCTTTGAACATCACAGCTACCAAAATCCTTCTAATATAAATTACATCGTCCCCCCACATGGGTGATAATTCTCCAAACAGATAATATAATAATTTGCTAGTGTCTTTCTGATATTAAAGGCACTAGTGAATTTCAGTTTTGATGTGGGCCAGACCAGCTAAATGTATTTTGGTTTTCTACTCACAGCCAGTAATGACAAATTATGGCAGATTTAGCATCTAATCATAATTCTTGATTTTTCAAAAGATACTCGATAGTATAGGTTGAAGGATAAATATCCAAAAATATGAATTTCTTCTACTTTTGTTATTGTTTACAAAGTTATTATTCTGTAAGAGAAAGCTTATAAAGGCTTTTAGAATTATATACTTAAAAAAAAGAATTATATACCTAAAAGGAAACACTTTTGTATTAAGGATATATAATTCAACAAAATGACAAATGTAGGAATCATAGTTGTTAATTTCTTTAATGTTCTAGAAAATGATCAGGAGTGAGGGGTTGGAGACAGTTTCCCCAGGCCAGCAATACTACACATCATTTGGATAGACAGTTAAACTTTATCACAAAGTAATTTTATATTGAAAGAAATGCTTCCTTATATAGGGTTTCCCTATATATGGTAACACTGGAATTAAGACAACTTTCCCTTTTTGTTTCTCTTAAAATATGCTTTTAAAAAGTTTTTAAATCTCTAATGACAGAACAAGCAAAATATTATATGCCCTCTTAAAATGCTCTTTAAGGCACATGTACTTTACTTGCAAAATACAGTGTTTATTACATTATTAGTACTGTCAAACTAGTACCATGTATGATGGATTTTACTGCTTTAGATGTAACATTGCTGAGGATGCTGATTAGCATCGGGAGCCCACAATTGAAGGGAGCCAAGTTGAAGGGACTAGGATTTATACAGGAGCCAGTGATTGTTTGTTTTGAAATATGTTCTAAAGGCAAGGAATTACAATTTTTTTTTTTTTTTTAAGATTGGAAACCAGAAGCCAGAGAGAGATTCTTGCTTCTTGGTACCTATTTTGGCAAAATAGGAGCTGAAACAGTTTTATGGCCTGCGTGTATCAGAAAGGTTCTTTCATAAAAATCACCACCACGCTCTCACCAACTTTATTTACACACACATAAACTGCATGGGATTAAATTTTGCCGAATCAGAATCTAATCACAGAAGTGCTGGGAAGCTCTTTGGTGGGGAGACGCCAAGTGGGGGATTGAAATCAGGTGGTCTGAGGAAGTGGCCTGCAAGCTGCCTCCGCGCACCCTGCCACAGGAGTAAGTTAACCCAGCTGTGGCTCAGCAGCTGGCTCTCCCAACTATTTGGTCTTCAAGATCCCTTTACATTTTTAAAATATACCGAGGGCCTCCAGAGAGGTTTTGTTTACATGGGCTGTGGCTATTGACATTTATCACATTAGAAATCAAAACTGTGAGAAATTTTAAAAATACGAATCCATTTTAAAAATCAATAATAAACCCCATACATGTTACCATAAGGAGGATTATGAAATACAACTATGTGTTTTTCAAACATAAAGAAAAACTAGGGAGAAGTGTGACATTGTTTTCCATTTTTGTAAATCTCTTTAATTTCTGGCTTAATAGAAGGCAGCTGGATCCTCATATTTTCTTCTGTGCTCAGTCTGTTGTGGTACATTGTTTTGCTGGATGTCTACAAAGAAATTCTGGCCGCACACATAGGTAGTTGGACTTGCTGAAAGGATCTTGCAGACCACCCGAGTTTCGCATTTTGAGAACCAGAGATTTAGGCCAGAGATCAGTAAACTAGAGCCTGTGGGCCAAGTGCAGCCTGCCTCTTTTGTTTCTCTATGGCCTAAAAGCCAAGAATGGTTGTTTTTTTTTTTTCCATTTTTTAAGTTGTCTGGGGAAAAGTTAGGAGAAGGATAGTATTTTGTGATGTGTAAAAATTCTATAAAATTCAGAATTCACTGTCCAAAATAAAGTTTTATTGGAATGTAGATACACTCATCTGTTTCCTCATTTCTGTGTGTGCTTTACACTAATGGCAGAGTTGAGTAGTTCTATCAGAGACCATCTGGCAAACAAAGCTTTTAATATTTGCTATCTGGCTCTTTACAGAAAAGTTTGCTGACCTTTGGGCTAAACCATAATCAGAAGCAAGGACAGTTTTTTGTTTTTTTAACTTTAGATTTTTTTTCCATAAATACTATACATTTGTTTTAGGTACATTCAGAACACTCTGAGTGACTGCTGTATATATGAATCATTGTGTTTGGTGCTCCAAGATAAATAAAAGGCAGAGTCCCTGTACTTGAGAAAGACAATAAATACATACATGAAATAATGGAGAACCATCAATAAATCAAAAGCAAAGAAAAATGCAAGAAACAACCATTATACAATATAGGAGAGAGTCAGAATGGGAAAATGCAGCTTTTATTTGTAGCTGATATTGCCAATCAATGGATAGGAGCTGCGTGGAGCTATATGTTCAGAAAGATTCAGAGGCTGAGTTCAAGCCCAGCAAGATAGAGTGTGCTGAAGGATTATGAAGTGTGCTGAAGGGATAATACGAATACCTGGTATTTGCTGTCCTTAGAATATAACAGGTATGTTGTACTCATTTGAAGCTATGATTACTCAAAAGGCAACATACTTAAGTTGCATACAGTAATTTTTTTAATAATTGTTTATGTCTTATGGATATTACCAGCCATTAGATACAACTTCTTTGAACAGTTTACTGATTCCTGGTCTAAACCACAATCAGAAACAAGGGCAGGTTTTTGGTTTGGGTTTTGTTTTGTTTTAAGGTTTTTCCATAAATACCATACCTGGGGACCTGTTTGTATACAAGAAATATTATGTCTGTTGCAGCTTCCCAGGATTATTACCAAGATCAAATGAGACAGTGCAAACTTTGAAAGCCTGCTTGAGATTTTGGTTATTACTGAGAAAGGGCCTGTAGTGGCAAGAACATGAGCTTAGCAGCCGGAAGACCCGGGTTTGAGTCACCTACTGTCTGTGTAGCCTGGTTTCCCTGCCGGTGCCCATTTTTCTTAGTTGTAATTCTCAGAGGCGTACAAATCAAGATTGAAGATTATTTTTACACATGGTGGCAGTGATGATAACTGAGTTAAGGAACAATTCCAGAGAAAAGGATTCCATTCCCCTAAATGGAAATCATGTTCTTAACCCAAGTTGTGAAACCAACAATATGATTTGGTTTAAGGCAGATGTAATAACCATACTTCCTTAGACAAAGTGATTGTAATTTAGCCCAACAATATGTTCAGGTAATGTCTCTTCTTTGACTGTTTTACTTTAACTGTCTTCACTGTGCCAACTCATGGCTTCCTGCACTTTAGCATCAGGAGAACTTAATGAGAATGTGTAGATAGCCCTGAATGGACACTTTCTCAAGTCATCAAGCAGTCGTTCTCCTATACTTTATTTGTTCACCAATTACATAATTAGCAGGCTGGAGAAGTTTCAGGGCAGGTCAGCAAGGCAGAAATTGACATTAGACAGTAACTTGATATTCAGAAACCTTTGAAATATAAGGGCTTCACTTTGTGATCAAAAATAGAATTGACTGAATCTGTGATCTTTAGTATTAAAATAATCTAATATGAAATGTAATTTTGTTGGCACATTTAAATGCTTAGAGTAAGGATAAGCGCTTTTTTTTTTAATGCTAATCTGAAGACATACCAGAAATTTAGACCATGTATTTAGGTCACATAGGGAATACATAGGATATAAGATATGGACATAATTGAATCCACAAATGAACTTAGAAATCCACTTTCAGTCCTGGTGATATTTTATACTGTAATTTCATAATTATCTGGACTCCCAAATCATCAACTCTGTACCTTCATTTTAAGCACACTTCATTTAAATATC